ACAGTTCTTCCTCCCATTCAATCCACAACTGAAGCAGATTTCCTTCTATGGGCCCATCCCATCCTCTCTCTGTACTCCACAGGGCCTGCACAATGAGCTTTGCTCTTGTGGTGTAAGGACAGATATAACCCAGAGGGTCATACTGACTGGCTAGCACCTTATAAATATTGCGCAGTGTGACAGTTGTATAGGACACTGGGCGATGCTTGTATCCCAGGACATCAGTTGGGCAGTGCCAGCTGAGACCCAATGTTGACTCCTGGGGATCAAGGCTACTAAAATTTAACCACAGTTCACAGCCTTCTGACCTGGCTGTACTGGGCAGATGGGCAACCACTTCAGGGAGGTTGCTGGCCCACTGTCTTATCTCAAATCCACCTTGGAGGAGCAACTCTCTCATCCTGTCGATAAGCAACTTAGCCTCTTGTGGGTCAGAAAGGGACTGCAGGCAGTTGTCCACATAAAATGCTGTATGGACGGATTCATAGATGTCTTTATGAGTGTCTTGATGTTCCCTCACGTGTCTCTGGAGGGCAAACGTAGCACAGCAGGGGCTACACGTTGTCCCAAAGGGCAAGACTCTCCACTCATATACATCTGGCAACCTTTCTGTTTCACCATCTCTCCACAAGAACCGTAGCAGGGGGCAGTCTTCAGGGAGCAGGCGGATCTGGTGAAACATGGCCTTTATGTCTCCACTAACTGCCACAGGATACTGACGGAAGCGGAGGAGTACACCCAGTAGTGTAGGCCCCAGAGGAGGGCCTGGCAGGAGGTAATTGTTGAGGATGGTGCCCTGAAACTCAAAAGAGCAGTTAAAGACCACCCTAGCCTTGTTGTTATGATGTACCATATGGTGTGGTACATACCAAGATTCAGTAGAACTTTTAATCTCTTCTGTAGTCAACTTCACCACATAACCAGAATCAACCAACTTCTTAATCTCCTGGTTGTATGTGCGGGCCAGGTCTGGATGTTTAATCAGCTTCCGCTCTGTGGACCTTAGCAGGCCTTTAACTACTTCTGGAGGGACATGCATCTGAGGGAAATCTTTCTTCCTCAGCAGAGGAGTGGCGTATCTCTCCACACCATCTACAGGAACCCTGATTGTCTTAGCCTCCAACATGGCTATAGCTTCTCTGTCCTCCTTTGAGCGTGTAACCTCCTTCTCAGATCTATATATGGGAGCGTCCAGTTGCCACAGACGTTGAACATCCTGACGCAGGGCCTCAGCAGGAGAAAGGCATGATATGTTTAGGCAGTGCAAGTCTCCCTGCTGTGTAGGCATACTACTGCTTGGACCTTGGATGGCCCACCCTAGCTTGGTGCAAACAGCTACAGGAGCATGGGCGGGGCCACGCCTGACTGGACGAACAGGAGTTATAAGGTGAGCATTATCTGAACCAATTAACACTAGAGGCTGTATCTGATTGAATCCCTCCAGCTGCACTGGCTGTAAGTGGTAATACTTCTCCTTCAGGAGCTCCACTGGACACGACTGTTCAGCTAGGCTGAGCTGTTCAGCAGTAAAGGCATGTGCTATTTTATAACGTCGCTTTGGTTGGGCCTTCGGGGATACCTGGAATGAGACGTAGCCCCCCTTTATCTGGATCACATCTTGACGGATGGTGCGCAGAGATAGAGTTTCCTCCTCTGGGCATAAGCCTAGTAACTTAACTGCAGCTGGGAGTATGATGGTCTTCTCTGAGCCGTCATCAAGGAGAGCATACGTGTCTAAAGATTTCTTCTGATGGTGTAACTGAATGGGCACCACCTTGAGTATTACACGACCAGAGTGACTGACAGGATCCAGAAATACTCTTCTGGTACTCACTGTTAGGATGTTAGGGTCCCGCCTTCTAGCCTCAACCAGGTCATGAAGCACTAATAAGTGCTGTTCTCCACAGGTGGTGCACAGCTTCTTCAGAGTGCACTGTTCCGGAGTGTGTTTACGGCCACAGCGCCAGCATCTGGAATTATCCTTTAGCCATGTGGCGACAGCTGTGAGGTCCAGCTTCTTAAAGTTTACACAGCCACTGAGGTAGTGTTCTGTTCCTTCACAGTATGGGCAATATGGCTTAAACTTTTGTTTCTTCTTGGAAGGGGAAGAAGAACTAACAGCTTCTGCCTTGATATATGTCTTTGTCGGCATTTGAGAAGGATCTGTGCCATAATATATGGATGCAGACTTACTCTGTGCTTTGGACCCTGTAGATGCTATGGAGTTACTTCTCCCCGGTCGTGGTCTGTCTGATGACTGTGTTTGAGTGGCTTGCCTTGATAGCTGAAGAACTTGGGACTTGCGTTCGAGCCATTCAGACAGGTCATACATGTTGTATGTGCGGCTGCTCCCAGTGCGTATAATGCCACGTGTGATACAGTACTCGATGAAACTGTCTCTGTAGCTAGGAGGGAGTTTGGTGAGTAACCTGTCTACATGTGAACCACAATGGAGCTCACTGGCTGCTACATCATCCATAGTACTGAGGAGACCTACAAGGCTAGACACTGCCAGGGAGAAATCTTCAAAGGCTTGAGGGTCACCAACCTTAACAGGAGAGCAGTTAAGGATAGCACTGAGTTCACTCTGGATTAACTGTCGAGGCTGTCCATATCTCTGTTCTAAGGCTCGAATTGCACTAGTGTAGGAAGTGCGGTCATGAATATAGCGCCTAGCAACTTGTAGAGCACATGGATGCTCTAAATGATCCAGCAGGATGTGATATTTATATTCCTCAGTGAGGTGTGCATGAGGCCCTAGCAGGCTGTCCAATCCTTTCTTCAGAAGTGCAAATTCACTCTCTCGGCCTGATTTGAATGTGACCAATCTAGGCTTTGGGATGCCGTATGATGATGCCACAATCATCTCCATCAGGTTTGGCTGGTTGACTTCTTCCGTCAAACGTAGTGGGGCTGTTGTCTGATATGCACCTGGAGGTGTTGGATAGGCCGCAGAGTAATGGCTGGGAAAATCAGTAGGTGGAGCAGCATATTGCTGGCTATAGTTCTGCTGTGCTGCCGCTCCCTGTGGTTGCTGATACAGAGGCGTAGCAGAGGCCGCAGCAAGGTTGTATGATGCTCCAGAGTGCACCTGGTTGGTGCTGCTTGGTAACTGCGGATGTTGGTATCTCTGACTGAATAAAGACTGAGCGTGATGTGGTTCGAGCTTCCCAAGCTGCTTAGATTGTGATACTTGGATGTCAGGTTGTAGAGCAGGCTGTATCACATGTCTCACTCTAGGAGGCGGAGCTGGTAACGATGCTGACTGACCTACTGGCTGGAAGGCTGTGTCTATCCGAGGCTGGGACATAGGTGGTGGCTGAAACGTATGCTGAGGTGCTGCAAGTACATCTGGCTGTGGAACTGGCCATGGTGCTGTCTGTACCGTGGGGCTTGCCTTTAGCGATGATAAGGATGCAGCAGGTTCTACTGGTCTTAGTAGGTTCACAGGTGTTCTGTTGTCCTGCCTTGCTGGTGCCAGGATGTTCAACTGATCCCTGGTATGACTGCTGTGTATATCCACACTGCTAGACTGTGGTAGGAATGCAGGAAGGGATTCTGCTCTATTATGTTGTTGAACATGACTGTGGGGCACGAGAGGGCTGCATGACCTACATGTTCGCTCTAGTTGCTCCACACGCTTGGTTAATGCACCACTGGTCTCCTTCATGGTAACTTGCATCTCATTCATTGCTTCTAAAACACTGCCCCATACTGCCTCCATCTTATCCCATCTTCTTTTCTTATCCTTATAAGATTCTTCTGAGCTGCTGCTTGTTGATGACTCTGACTCCTCTGGATCAGGTAGGTCATGCTCATACTCCGCCAGATGTCCCGGAAGCTTCCTGCTCCTGCGTGGACGGGGACTATGCTCATGACTTTTCTCCTGAGGAATGTTGTCTTGTGAAGATGTCATGTTGTTGATTCGACCAATGAGATCCGGCTCGAAGGACCACTTGTAGAAGACTGTGTGCGTTTAGATGCACTAGTTCCAGATATCTCATCAGTTGAATCTTCCTTGGTCAGAAGGAATATGCCAACTCCATCGGTGCAGCTCAAAAGTTTATTAATGGAATAGAAGCAGGTACATTGGAGATGATGGTACAAATGATGAGGTTTATATTTGCTTTTCTTATGGATATGTATATGGATGTGTGGCTATCTGAAACAGAATAAACAATAAATATGCATATTTATAGCTATGCAGGCAAAACAGGGGCATATAGATGAAGGATGAAATTGGCTTGTAATACCAAATAAATCCACTGGAGGTCGCCATCACATCACACATGCATTATTAATCAAACGTAATAAGCATTTAACTGACAAAACCGTCAGAAAATATGAAATAAACGGCGATGCCCTCATTTACTAATAAAATGGAAATATATCTAGCAAAGTGTAACAAAGAACTTCAGTTATTATAAGTATATTCTTGCATTGTCAGTAACCAGAGAAACTAAAGGACAATTTAACCTCCTGGGTTAATAACTGACAGAAAAGAAACACAATATCGGACTTAAAATGTATACTTACATCGTAAAGAACGCACACAGGTTTCATACACACTGGATTGAAGTAGGATTAATGGTGGATGCTATTTTGTGCCACCGAACCACCCAGAAGCATGGAAAACACAACTTATTCAGCTACGTAAAATTAGAACTACAAAATGAACAGATGCATCATGGGTAATGTGGTACTAAAGAAACGGACGGACTTTTAACAAGTGTTGTGTTTCTATTTTTGTTGAGTGTATATTTGGATAGCTACGATTTCCTTTGTGAAGACAACAGGTCCCCCCTAGGGGCGCCCCTCACAGTTTGAGATAAAAAAGGATAAAAAAAACGTGTTTAGTTAGGTTGAAGAATAAAAAATGAATGTATTTAGTTCAGCTTTAATTATCTGTTATGAAGGTTGAAAAATGAGACAATACAAGAAAGTATTCTTAAAAAAACTTTTCTATCACTGTTTATATGTGGATGCTTGGCTGCTTACAGGTGCTGGACGTGGCAACATTACCAGGTAGGTTTTGTTTTTTTAATCTAACCTTTTAAATCAAGAAGAACCAATCTCTTAACAACCAATGTTGTATCCTATAAAATACAGATTATGACCCTCTTCCACACATCCCTGTAGTGGATGTAGTGTCAGAGGAGGAGGCGTCAGAAGTGGAGAGTTTGACCCCTCAGTTTCCTCCTCAGTGAGTAGGACCTTTCCCACCTCCTCACAGCAACTATGCAGAACAGTTTTATTGTTCAGTACTACAGTCAGGGCAAATGATATCCAGGCTATGGCTAATTCTCCCCTGGCCAGTAGGGTACCAGACATACTTGTTAAATCTTCAGAGATGTTGTTTTGGTCATGAATCAGTCTACTTTTTTATATATCAAACTTAAAATCATAAACATTATCTTTTAAATTCCTTCCTTTGATACATTTATATTTACAATCAGAAATAATAAAGCTTTAAATCAATCTTTGCTCTGGGCCCCAGGTGATTGGGCCACCCCTGACTACAGGAGACATAATTCAACTCAAACTCTTATGCAGCAGCTCTGAGCTGCTTTGTTCAAAGCCTGAGCAGTTCTGAACCATTACTCTTATGTTTTCAACGCTGGCCTGACCCACTGATTTCATACACAAAATAAATGAATGTTCTACTAAATGAAAGTAAAGGTTCTACTAAACCTCATTTCTTCTGCAGAGTGGTGAGCTGGATAAAGCAGATAATCCCTCAGCCAGTGATTCCGCCCCCTAGTGGCATGCAAATGGAACCTCCACCAAAAGCCAAACGTACTTCTTTAGAGAAAAGTAAAAAAAAAAATGATGAAGCTTCACTTGCAGAAAAGAGAAAAATCTAACTTTTTTACAGTAAACTTTTGATGCAATACGTTTTTATATTTTTCTCACCTGCAGCTCTTTCTCCTCCACCTGAATCTCTGAGTGGAATCTCACTGGATACTGAAAGCAAGGCTTCTGGGTAGGTCTGCAGTAATTTGGGAAAACAGTAAACTTGTTTCCAAGCCCCCTGTGCTGTATGTGATCCTGCTCTGAAAAACCCAAAGATTTCAACTGTCCACAGAGCGCCTTGAAGGTCTGCAGAAATATGTCCCTTTTAGAACCTCTGGCTCCAAGAACCAGGGGCAGGGTCCTGACTCTGGAAAAAAAAAAATCATTAATGCTATAGATTTTATACCGATCAGAGTAGCAAATCATAATATGTCAACATTACAAAGAGGAAACTGTTTTTTCCAGACATTATTTCAAACAGAACAAACACAGTCATACATTACATAGTCCCTACAACATGTCCTGGGCCTCCTCCTGGTGGCATGTGCCTCGGACACCTCCTGAGTGAGGCATCCACGGGCATCTGAAAAGATGTTTGATCCACCTCAGCTGACTCCTTTCAATGTGGAGGAGAATCGGCTCTACTCAGAGCCTCTCCCTGATGATTGAGCTCCTCATCCTATCTCCAAGGGAGAGCCCAGCCACCCATCAGAGAAACCATAATTTCAGCTGCTTGTATCCAGGATCTTGTTCTTTTGGGCATCATCCAGATTTCATGGCAATAGGTGAGGGTAGGAACGCAAAACTACAGGAGAGCTTTGCCTTTTTGTTCAAGTCTATCTTTTCCATGACATACTGGTGCCGCATGCCGCACTGATCCATCTATCGATCTCCCACTCTTCTACCCTCACTGGTATACAGGCCCTAAGATACTTGAACTGCTCCACTTAAAGGAATAGTACACCCAAAACATGATTAGCCTTCATTTTCTACTCACCTCCATGCTGAACAACACTCTGGAGTACTTTTTTGATATCTCAAATGCATCTGGAGATCTGGGAGGCTTCTTGCTGTCTGCTGACATTCAAATAATGGAGGTCCATGGCGCCCGAGACAGAAAGGTCCATAAAAGTCCACAAAAACGTGTCAATATTCCTCCATACTGCTCGTCCAATGTAATCCAAGTGTCCTGAGTGGGTAGCATCCAGAATTTACCTCGAAACGAAGTCATTTAGAATGTTTTTAGAGCATAAACAGTAGTGTATAGGATTTCCTAATAGCGCCCCCATGCGCGCTCACGATTCTACGGAAGCCGGCAGACCAAACCAGCGCATTCAGCTCGGCAAAGAACTCATGCTCTTCCTCAACACTGAAGTCCTCAGACATTTTTCTTTCGTTGTTTCTTTCTTTGCACAGGTAAACAGCACATTTCTTCTTCTACGCTTGCATTATCGGCAGACCAGACGCTGAATGCGCACTTTCTTCCGGTTTGGTCTGCCGGCTTCCGTAGAATCGTGAGCGCGCATGGGGGCGCTATTAGGAAATCCTATACACTACTGTTTATGCTCTAAAAACATTCTAAATGACTTCGTTTCGAGTAAATTCTGGATGCTACCCACTCAGGACACTTGGATTACATTGGACGAGCAGTATGGAGGAATATTGACACGTTTTTGTGGACTTTTATGGACCTTTCTGTCTCGGGCGCCATGGACCTCCATTATTTGAATGTCAGCAGACAGCAAGAAGCCTCCCAGATCTCCAGATGCATTTGAGATATCAAAAAAGTACTCCAGAGTGTTGTTCAGCATGGAGGTGAGTAGAAAATGAAGGCTAATCATGTTTTGGGTGTACTATTCCTTTAAGGCAGGAACTTTCTCCCAACCTGAAGGGGACAAGCCACATTTTTCTGGTTGAGCACCATGGCCTTGTACTTGGAGGAGCTGACTGTCAACAGGGTCGCTTCACACTCGGCTGCAAACCGCCCCAGTGCATGCGGTAGGTCTTGGCACGAGGGAGCCAACAGAACCAAGCCATGCGCAAAAAGCAGGGAATAGATCCACCGACCCTCGAAGCAGAGCCTCTTAGGCTCTTGTCTGCACCTAGAAATCTTGCACATAAAGGTTATGAACAGGACCAGTGGCAGAGGGCAGCCCTGTCAGAGTCCAATGTGCACCAGGAACAGATCTGACAGGGTCTCCCATCCTCCAATATGAATGTCCTAGGGAAACTCCTGAACATCCTGCAGTTTGCTTATGCGTATGGGGTTGGGGTTGAGGATGCTTCAACAATCCCAGAGTTTTTAACAAATAGTTAAATTGCCTATTACTGCAAAGTCTGTTAGATAGTCATTTTTTTATTGTCAAAGATGAATATTGCTTTTTAAATTAATCAGTTCTTTCTTTTTATGTGATGTTTAAATGTTTTCTGTAGTTGCTTTGATGTGTGTCATGTTTTTAATGAGATTCTCTTTCTCTCTCACTGTATTCTCCTGTAAAGAATTGAAATTCTCCTGTATGTGAATCTACAAACCGGCCTGATTTCAGTGAGCTGAGTAGTGGTGACAGAAAACCAAACAGCTGAAAGTGTCATTTTATATACATTTCTAAACAATAATTATATATATATTGCTATTTTGGCAGCAAATTATTGTAAATATGACCTCTTAAACAGTTTATGTTGAAGGTTCTCAGTACAATTAAAATGTAATGTCATCAGGATGGGCAGTAAAGCACACTGTTTTCCCAAAGCACCATGCAGACTTAAAGATGACAGATTTGGGAACCTGATTAGCATACAATATTTATCAATGGGTTTTGTAATGTTCTTTAATGCACTATTTTAGCTTCCTAGTGCATGGAAAGAGAATGATTGTTTAATTTTTCCCACCCAAATTTCTAAATGTTGCTGTGATTTGTTTCTTCACAGAGTGGTGGACTGGTTTGTGTCAGGGCTGGGTTTGAAGATGCCCCAGCTTGTCCTTCCACCCAAAGATGAAGCTGAGGTGTTTATTCATTTGTCCTGAACTTGGTTTGATACTACGACTTTCCAACCTTAGGAGACTGATTCTGTATTTCTTTCCTAATGTTTCATCAGAGTGCCACCGGGGGGCTGCAGAAAGGTGAGTCCAGGTTTACTTTATCCAACTCTTCTTTCTTTTACTCTAGAAAACTGATTAGTGTCTGCTGGTTGAGAACAATGCCGGGATCTTATATAAGCAGAAGAAGGTTGCTGACCTGAGGTCACAGTGGTCATGATTCAGTTTTCCATATGGGAGCTTTCAAAGTATTCTCTGGACCATTTTGTTCCTCCCCTTTAGTTTGTGAGGAGGCGTTTTGGTCGGACGGTCGGAGCCTAACTCAGTCCCTCTTCTCCTTCTGTTTCAGGGGGGAAGGCGCTGCGAGCCCCTTAAACAGCAGGAGGAGACGGCTGGGGGGCGCTCTGATTCCCACAGACACTTAGAGAGAGAACCAGTACACATTCTGGCAGAGCCATTCTTCTTACTGGGAGCTGCTAAGCTCAGACTATTGAGGCAGCTGTAAAAGATCTAAAACTCACCATCGTACAGTTCTCCATACAGTTTTTCTGATTGTTTTTTTTTTTTTAAAACAACTTAAGCATGCACTGGAACGTTTGTAGCACTATCAGATTTCTTTTTGCTTGTAATTTAAATTTGCACATTTTCTAGTAATTTTTTTTGTAGATTTAATGCACTTTATATACATATATATGTACCTATCTCATCAAGTCTTTACATATTAAATGGCAGCTATGATGATGGTAGTTTGTTGTGTAGTAGAATGCTTTTCATTTGTATTTATTCTTGATTTATTGTAGGAAAATGTATTAAAGTTGAACTTTAAGGCCTATTGCTGAATAATAATTCATGTCTGGTGAAATACAAGCTATAAAGTATGATAAAGAGACACAGAGGATCACATTAAGCAAGGAGAGGAATGGTACTGGGAACCATTGTTATCTCACTGGCAAGGCTAGCCACTTTTAACTGTAGCATTTCGCTTTTTTTTTTTTTTTTTCATTTAAACCCTGTAGAATCACGTTGAGCAGACATGACCTACTGAGATCAGAAATACAACATATAAAATAGTTTGATAGTACAGCTGGATTTCCATAACACAGGTCAAGGTGAAACATCCGCTTCTGGGAACAAATACATACAGCACTCAGCTACCTTTAATAACTTATTGCACATGAATGCAATGACAAATTGGCATTGATCAGATGGTCCTGTGAACTAAGGCCTGGAGGTTAGCTGTGGTTTTGTCCCTAATGATCTAAATCAGAATCAGGAAACATGCATGAGAGACTCGTCAATTGGAACAGGATGAGACAAATAGAACCATGTTGGTTATGAGCTAACAGTAATATCTGCAGGAAGATTCAGTAAGTGGAAATTCTAACCAGACAATTGTGAATCAGCTGGGCCACTTATACTGAATTAATCTAATTCAGGTGAGATACGTTCAGCAAAGGAGAGAGAGTCCGGCCAACAGAACTGTGTAGGGATATACAAAGTTCCTATACATAAAAAGTGGTTGTTTTTAACTGCCCTAAAGTATGTGTACACTACTTGCTTTGACTCCAAGTAGAACCTTGCATATGAATCAGTATTTGCATTTTTGGCTGGTTCCCAGAACTGCAGCTAGACTCCACCTACCGGCTAAAGCAAACTTGCTGCCTTTTCATCTTATTCATGTCTGTATTTTAATGCAGTAATGCATTAGTAATGGAGCCCAGCTTTCACCTGCATGTAAAGAAAGCTATATGAAGACCCTTAATGCGGGTCTCACCTCTGTGAAGAGTCCTGGATATCTGGGTTTGCTGCCTCACCCAAAACTAAACACGTTTAAGGCCTCTCCACTGCTTGACAGCAGACAGTGGAGCCTGTAGTTTACTGTGGCTTTATTCAAACAAAGAAACAACCACAGCATGTCTAAAGCTGTCACTGGATAATCATTGCACCCCTTGGATTCATCCTCAGAGGCTGTTGTCCCCTCTATATACACTAATTTACACTACAATCGCCGGTTGTATTGGTGCCTACGTATGTTTTGAGCTGATCATTGAGCCATGGATTACAGAGGCACACAAAATCATAAAATGGTGATGGATAGATAGTGATGATTAGTTAGTTTATGTACTAGCTAGCCCTATGAGTCTTTAACTGTATTGGAGACGTTCTGTATTTCATCTTTACATGTTTTATAGTGCAGTTTTTAATCAGCCCCAACTAAAGAAATTACATGTCTTATAGAATTATAAAGTTTAAAACTTCACAGGAAGGTTTAAGCACTAAAATGTTTCAGATGAGGGAACAGAAGACAAAAACAATTTTTTGTTGTCTCCAACTTACTTTCAGATTTGTTACTTGCCTCCTCTGTATCGACACTTTGTGCGCAGAGTGAGTGAGGGGGTGAATCCATGCTGAAACCTGTCTGTGTTTCAGCAAACAAAAAAGTTCCCATATCACCTCCCAGGACTGGTCAGGGAACATCTCCTGCTCTCCAACATTTTGGGTGTTTTCTCATGTCACTATCTGGGATTTATAGAGTTTGGAGATTCAATCAGTCATTCAAACCCCCTTAATTTTTATAGGACTACCACCCTGGTTTTCCCTGCTTTCTAACTGACAGGGTGCTGAAGTTAGCATCCTGTTTGCAGGTTCAGTAAGAGCCTACTTTCCTGATTTTACTATTTATATGGAATTAGGTGAGTTTTACTGGAAGTGAGAACAAAACCTTATTACTTTTGAAACATAAAAAAAAAATATTTCAATTTATAAAATCAAAATCAATGTACCATAAAGATTCACTGTCCCTATTATGGTAAAAAAAAAAAAAAAAAGTAGATATAGGAATTTTTTCTCACTCTTTCAAATTACTTATTAACTTTTTATTTTAACATATCAAATACAGTATGCAAAATTAGATTACTGCTGGTATTCCATGAGGAGTTTAAACTCAGCCTTAAGACTGAGCTGGACCTTGCTTTTGTCATGTGTGCTGCAAAGTGGTGTTTATATCCAAGTTAGAAAAAAGGTACCTTGAACTACAAAGGGTTAAGGAATCCAGAGAGTGTTTAAAGAGTGACAGTTTGTGATCCAAGAAACTCAGACTTATTAAAACCAGAGTGAAATATTATCAAATTAGATCTATTCTAAAAGAAACCTTGGCACTATTAAAAGTGCTTGAGGAGTGCAAACACTGTCCAATTATATGACTGAATAGCAAATTCAAAAAGTACTGCAGATACAAAAATTATGTTAACAGACAAACACACAAAACATCAGGAAATGGGAAAATGCTACAAGAAATTTAAACAGCTGCAAGTTAAGAAAAGCTGCAGAAAAGCTCAAGATAACAGAAGTGCTCCAGACCACTAGAGGGAGACGATCACCCATCTCTCTGGGACCAGACCTATGGAAAAGACAAAAATGGGATGCTGAGAGAAGTTTTGGCTCAGAATATATCAAATCTGTAAGGACACTTAAACCAAAGCGAATGTGATCAGAAGGGTGGAAAAGGAAGCAGGAGGCTTCTTACTGTTAGGTCATTTAACATAGGGACTAAGAAATTACAAGGAATCCCACAATCCTTTGCATAACAGGATATATAAGCAAAGCCAATCGCACAGGAATCTAACAAAAACACGTTAATTCTAGTGTACTCTGTGTGACATATTTGAATGTAGGCCTACACATCTTTAGACATAGCAGAACACACGTGTAAGCCTTATAAATATTACTTAAGAATAAACAGACCTCCATCCCATAACCAGCTAGCTCTCTGTTGGGTTTAATCAATGCATTAAAAAAGTAAAACACTTTTCCATTTTCTCTGTATATTACTGACTTCTTCCTCTGTAGCTTCATCTGAACTTCAGCCCGACATGGTTCTGGAGGATGTGGAATCAGATCATGAGGGCCAGCAAACATGTGAAAATGACACCAAAGTTGCAGAAACTCTGAGTCCAACAACAATCCAGCAGCAGCAGGAGGAGACACCGTCCAGCCCCGTCCAGTGTCCCGGAAACTGTGAGCCCAACCAGGATGAGCCGGCATTAGATTGCCTGACTAAAACATCACAAGAAGATGCTGAGACTCAGACCGGCCGCTGGACTCCATTTATTGAAAGCATCAAGAAAGAGGCTGAAGATGTTGCTTTGGCCACTATGGAGGAACGGTAAGGAAGATGCAGAGGCCTGAACAGGAGGAAAGTCTTTTCCTGCTTAATATCCATATAACATGATGCGTAACACCCCCTACAGCCTGCTTCAGGAGCGCATAGAAATGACCCGTCTGGCTGAGGAGGTGGCCCGGCAGACAGCAGAGATGGCTGTTAGACAGTTGGCCAGTGAGGGAACGTCCTTTAAACTCTCACTGGGGAGCCAGGAGCCGCTGGAAGAACCTGAAGCTGAGTAAGACAATCTTTGCATTAGAGAAATGTATACATTTTGGCATATACAAAAACTTTTTGTCTTTAGGAATGAAAGACACAGATTGTCTTTCTGCTTCCAGGCTGCCAGAAACACGAGAAGAAGAAAGCAAGGTGGATCGAGAAGAAGACACAGAGTAGGTCCCAATGCAGGAGTGTGACATATTTCTCCTACTCTCTCTGTGCAGAACAAATTCAATAATCATTTTTAAACTGAGTTAATTATTTCACATTTACATTTCTAGAAGACCTTTTTCCTTTTACTAACTGTCTGTTTCACACAATCGTATTAATTTTACCTCTAATAAGTAAGCAGAGTGTTTGTTTATAACCCAGACAGCAGACATGTTTATTGCCCTGAAGGATCAATGACAACTTTTGTTAAAGGCTAAAAAAAATGAGATAATTGACAAGATGTCATAGCTTTGTAAGCTCCTGATAGGTTCATTCAAAATATCTGGCGATCTGGAAGCAATTAAGGCCCTCATCTGGATATGAATCGACCCCAGAACAAAAGCTATAAAGACCTAATGGAGATGCTGCTGAAGTTACGAGGAATTCATGATTTAGATTAAAACCACTCAAAATGGGCTCAAAGGCCACTTACATAGCAGGAAACTGTTGCTCTGAAGGCAACAGAAAAATACAGATTAATTAGAAGAGGCACTTTCTACCTTGAGAACACCATGCATACTTTGGGGTATGGTGGTGGCAGCATTATGACATGATTGGGGAATAAAGGTTGTACACAAACAGGTCTTCTAAATAGACAATGTCCCTCAGAAAACCTCCAGACTGGTTGCAAAATGCCTCAAACCTGATCCAGTTTGAACAAATCTGTCAGGGAAAATAAACCAACATTCCTGCAAACCTTAGAGATAAATTTGTGGAAGGAAACTCAAAATGTTCGATCCAAATCAGGCAATTTAAAGGGTAATTCTACCAAAAAATGAGATGGAAACTTCTAACCAATCCCTAGTCTGGCAAATATTATCAAATTATTTTGGTAATTCTAACTGACTAATAACAGGAAAAAGTTTTGTCCGATTTAATAACATACAAAAAATAAATAGTCTATTTAAATATCAACTTTACACATTTGTTGATGACCATTTGTTTTTTTATCACTGTATTGTATCCATAATCTTTTAGGGTCAATAGATTAAAAGTCAGGTATTAGTGTTCAATAGTTTTTTAAAATCTTTTATGATCTGATTATCTAAAAGGCTGCTGCTTTGCGTCCATTTTCACCAAATAAAAACTAACAAACGCACAGCACTTACAGCCTGGAATAATCTTATAGAAAATATAACTCTACAACATATATGAGTAAAATAAAAATAAATTGATATTAGGTCTGAACCATGAAAGCAGCCTTCTAGCAGGTTACGCAGCAGATTCTTAAATCCCGCGAGGCTTGTCTCAGCAGCGTCGCAACACTGCACCATAGCAACCACAGCTTCCCCTAGCAACCGCCGACCTGCCCCCCACCCCCTCTCCCGTCCTCCCTTCGGCTGCCCCGGTAACAGCAGCCGCTTCCTGATGAACAGAAGCAAGCTGGGGATGTTTTTCTCACCTGAATGGAATTAGCTGACCTGTTTAAGGTCCAGTCTGCGGTTCTGTTGCTGGAGGACATTTAATCAGCCGGAATAACTAACGAAGCTATAAGGAGAAACTATGGCAACGGAGAAAGTGAGTAACGCTGCGCTGATTTACATCACAGCTTAAAAACTAAAAAATTAAGCCTCCATATTCAGATAATAACTGATTAATAGTTTAGTTTTTTTTCTGGTTCAGAAAGTCTACAGAAGGACGTAATGTATTTTCGGGTTTAGTTAACTAAAATGTTTTATCCAGTTTAGAAAAGGCTTTATATTTACATCCGCGGGAAGATGTTTACATATAAACACCGATTCAAACACAAACAATATCCATCCATCCATCCATCCATCCATCCATCCATCCATCCATCCATCCATCCATCCATCCACCCGTCCGTCCATCCGTCCGTCCGTCCGTCCATCCGTCCATCCATCCATCCATCCATCCATTGCTCTATTCTGTCTCTGACAGAATCTTCTTTTTGTCCTGCAGAAAGGAAGACACTTTAGTCTCAGATGAGCAGAAAGTAGATGCTGAGGAATCCACCATCAAGGAAACTGGTACAGACAAACTTCTGAAAGCTGAGCATAAACATCCTTAGCTGCACTTTCTGCTGCTGACAATCTACATCTGCACAGAAATACCTGAACCGAAGCAGGAGACAGCCACCTCTCCACCACCAGATACTGAACCAGAAAGCAATCCTAAGCCAGAGACAGAATCTTCACCAGAACCAGGTACCCAGAGCCAGGAGGCTGTGACCACGCAGCCCCAGAAAGCAGAGGACGCTCCAGCTTCAATCACAGACAAGGCTACTGAGAAAGTATGTTTGCTTTTAACAGATATTGGTCGTTTTCACTCTTAGATCAGAATGATTATAAGTTTAATTAAAGATAAATGACTACCTCTGTTCTATCCATCATGTCCCTTTACATCCACCTTGTCTTTTCTTTTCATGTCTAAAACATAAGAGATTATATCATTTCTTTACTCAAAGTAGACCCATTCATTTCTATTTTTTTTTTTTTTTATTGACAGGAGGAAGATGCTTCAGGTGACGGCTGTGGAGGTATGAAAATCATTCTCCTGCAGCAACAGTTTGGTTGATGGATGCATATCTTAATCTCACCTGTTTACTTTTTTTTAGATTAAGTTTCAGTTAACCACATTTCTTTGAGTAGGATCAGAACCACTCTCCTGCTTCCTGTAAGCAGGATAGTCATTTATGGAGTAAGATAACTGTCAGATAGTTAGTGTCTGATTTTGTAAAGTCAATAACGTGAATATATTTAAGATTTGAAATTCTTCCTTGAGGTGAGGATGATGGCAACAATCTTACATTTCTCTGCAAACTTTGCCCGCCGGCTTTCAGTAAAAAAAATCCGCACTTCAGTAACATCCAAAGCAAATCTGAAACGGCATATGTACTGAAATGGAATTTCAAATGGAAAAAATATTAAAATTAAAAAAACATTTGCTCCTTAAAGACTACTTTCCTGTTTTTCTTTTAATAATTCCTCATAAAAAAGACCATTCAAGCAGCACATTTTTCCTGATGTGTTTGAGAATATACTGTAGGGGTGAAAGCTGCAGCTGCTACTAGTGTGAAGTGAATTTACAGCAACAAAGCGTTAAAGCAACAATGGGGAAATGCTGTCCCCTCATTGCTAATGTAAACCCTAGTTGGATAAGGATTCAAAACTGGAAATGAAGATGAAATCTGACGCACAGTTTCAGTGTTACAACTGATAAAATAATTGCTGTCTGTGGTTCTACAGTAGGCTATGATGTAATTGAGCAATACATGGAAAAAAAGAAAAAAAGAACTATGAACTAGTTCATTTTTTTGAACTGTGAACTTAGTTCAAAATTTTGAATTATGAACTATGAACTGAACTAGTTCATTTTAAAATGTGTGAACTGAACTTTGAACTAGTTCACGTAGAAAGAGAACTTTCCCAACACTGGCTGTGCAGTATTGGCCGATACCGATACCATCTGTTTGAAATTGATGTGTGTGTATATATATGAAGAACTGTAGATGTGCGGCTGACTGCATACTACCTAGATGTAAAATAATTGCCATCATAATTTTGTCAAGCTGCTGCCTACCTTTGTGAAGCAGGAAAAAGATTAATACAAAGTGAATCTAGTAGAACTTTTTATTGCCTACCTGGAATGGGTGACAATAGTTGAATAAACGTTTGGCTCACAAAATTGTATCGGTGCCCTATTTGTTGGTACTCGCCGATACCAATACCACTATTTTAGTGCTGGATTGGGGCCCTGCCCGATACCGGTATTGGTATCAGTGGAACACTATTTGTGACATGTACTCATAAATGTGTTAATCATGCAAATGTATAGATTGGATTCATAACTTCTAAACTTGTATCCTCACAATTGAAATCCAAAATGCATATTTTAGATTTAATCAAGTTTATTAACATTTTACAATTTTAGACACATGCGCATATGTTTTCATTGACAGTTATCTTACTCTAGAAGCTATCCTTACTTTAACTTTCTTCTTGATGTGCTGCCACAGTTTATTTGTGAGTAATGCCCACGTTCTGCCTTGCTTTCATTCTTCATGACTTCACCTGCTGTCTCCTTTATAGCTCCAGTCAGCTGCGATTCGTTTAAGAACTGCCTGATGCGCTTTCCTCCCACCTCTGAGTGCTTTGGCAACATCAACGCATTCTTCAAAGAGAACGGCATCTCTCCGCCTAAAATCCCCTCCATGCCTCGGCTCCCCACCCAGCTCTCTGACGTTACCAAGCATCTTCCCTCCCTGCCCCCTGAGCTACGCCAGGAGTTCTCCCAGATCAGACTCACGCAGGTCCCACGGAGCATCGTCCAGACCCTTACTGCGCTTCTGCCCAAAGAAGCAGACGGGTCAGCTGGCCCCAGTCTGTCCGGCCTCAGCCAGAGCCTTTCCTCTGTCCCACAAAAGCTGTCTCAGTTTCCCAGACGAACTCAGGAGTGCTTCCTAAACATCCGAAACCGCCTCAACAGCCTTATGCCACAAGATGCCTAAGAAACAACAACAGCAGAAACAAACGCAAAACAACATGCAGCCGGACTTAGAACTCAACCACCTCATGCACCACTCGCCTCTCCCTCCCCCTCATCCTCCTCCCCTGAGGTCTCGCTCCCCTTCTCCTTCCTCACCTAGCGGTAGCACCCTCGAGCTACCCAATGTGCCCTCCTATCCACGCCTGCCTCCCATCGCCAGCCCGCCATCGAAGCAGCTCTACCCGCTGCCCCGGCAGCTGTCCGGGCTCTCTAATCCGGCCTTCTTCATTGAAGATGACTCAGGTGAACCCGTGTTAGTGCAAGTTGACTCTACCAGTTAAACTGCAGGAAGGTATTTCATGACCCAAAATGAAAGGCTTGTTTGTGCAGTTGTGTGCTACTGCACCACTTAGTTCAATCACAACTCTATTTATCAAACAAGACAATCCATTTTGTACAAGACAATTAGAATAAGAACACAAATATGTGCGTCAGAGTCTAGATCGACTGATACCGCTAACCAATCCCAGATATGTGCTGTTGATATTTTGGGGCTGATTTTTTATGCCAAAGTAGCTTTTTCTTCTTATATTCACGATGATAAAAATTATACAGATAAAACTGTTACATAAGTCTCAATTAAAACAAACAAACAAACAAAAAATAATTAATTGACAAAACATGAACAATGAATAGCAAATGGAGGAAATGAGAGTGGAAGATCTTCTCAGACCTGTCTGTGGATCAGCTGCTACTGATACAAGACCAAAACAGAAAAGCTGTTCAGTTGATATACTGTATTGGTATACTCTACATCAGAGCATCTAAAAACAAATTTGAGCAGACAATATAATTTATTTCTCAATTTAGCTGAGTTTATCAGTCTATAGCAGCTATAGACTATAAAAAAAAATTGAAGAACAAAACATAGTAAAAAATTAACTAAAACAAAAAAACTTTACAAGAGTATGGAGGATTAAAGTCACTAAAAGAAGACTCTATCAGTCCTCCATATAAGAAATTAAGCTCCAAGGGTTTATCTACACCAGAACCAGCTTATTTCGGGGATACAGAACCCGTCTCCTCCCTGATGTTGTAAATCAGAAGCTAACAAAGCAATGACAGTTAGACTCTATGCAAATTTCTGGTTTGAAAGAAAGTAAAAAAAACAGTCTTTAAAAATGTTTGTCACATTACTCTGATATGAATCAAATGCGGAAAATTAGTTTCATTAAAAACGCTTACTGACAAGAAACAGGAAAAGTTTAGTTTTGCTAAAGATCAGTCTCTCTATAAAATCTTTAAATATTTCTATTAGAAGAAGGTAGAAAATCATCTACCTCTACATAGCCAAGAACTGTTAATGTCTTATTGGGAATCCTAACTGAGGTCAGAAGTCTCTGTTTAATGGCTGGTTCTCGGCCAGCAGTCAGAACCATGGGAAAAAATTATTATTTCTATGCAGCACGGAGGGTTCTAATGGATCTATTTCTAAAAAAGATTAATCATCTGTTCAGCAGGGTTTTTTTGTTGGTTGTATATAATAAATATATAATAAAAATAAAAGCACAAACAGGATTTTGAGACCAACCCACGTCCGAGAAGTCTAAAAAAAACCACACATAGATGCACAGAAGTTCTCTGAATAAATACATAGAACAGATACACTGCAAAACTCATTTATGGATCTTGTGAGCATTTCTCAACCTTCCGTCCTTTTTAAATTCTGTGTGCATTTATCTTCAATTAAACTCTTCTAGCCCAATAGCTAAGAAGAGCTGTGTTCATTGCCTGCAGACTCCTAGTATTAGAGCATAAATACATGAGCCAGATAAGAGAGACTGGATGACTTGGCAGATGAGTAAGCTAGTTTGCATCAATCAGGGACCTGATACACATGTCCTAGTTCACTGGTGGATCGTCTTGTATTAGCTGGATGTAGGTCCTGCTAAATCTGTCTGCTGTCCTGCTTCTGCTTCTAAGCGTGTTCAGCCCATGAATGCTTCACCTGCAACTTAGAAGTCTTTCTAATATAATCTTAATTTGATCAAATATTTTAAAAAGGTGCATCTTAACGTCTATTTTAGTGGATTTATTTGAACAGTTTTATTAAATTGTTAAACTCAACTTTACTAGATCTGTATATTCAAGTTGTTCTTTGTGTTATTTTTAATTATTCTGCATTGCAGTGAACGAAAAACTCAATGTGGATTCTCAGTAAATTGTAATAATAAGTCAGAACAATTAAAACGATTTTAACCTGGAAATGTTCTGATATGTCTATGTTCTGGTCTCTACAATAATGAAGCAGAACGTTGAGTGATCTCTGCTAGCCCCCATAAGGACATACAGTTAGACATTAAAGGTCTCCTCTTAGCTCGGTTAGGACAGTTCTGATGTTTGGATGACTGTTTCTCAGTGTTACAAAGTTTGATTTTCAGATTAAAGTAAAGTTTTAATTTCATTTGTAAATCCATATCCCAGAGTCTAGAGGAAGAATCCCGGAACCCACTGAGGTCCAGTGGGAGTTTCCACAGTCAGTGGCCAGAACCAGCCATCTGCTGGTTCTGGTCCAAAGTCAGAGCAGCCGTCTACCAGGAAGATTACAACCCTTCCTGCTTCCCTCTGTTGATAAGCTTTAAGATACTGATTTTATTTTCCTGCAGGACTTGGTACTGACCCGAACTATTAAAAGGTACCAGGATCTATTTTTATCACAGGGGAAACACCAGCAGACTGGTCTGAGCAAAACCCCTCAGATAATCTAATGGCTGTTGTAAAAACAAAAACTGAAGGATCCAGAACCTAAATAATGAAAAGCTGAAGTCCGGTCATTAAGGAACCTGGGCTTCCAGAACATCTCACAGAACCACAGGCGGTTCTCCTCCATGCCACTCTGATGCCAGAACTAAGAGCCTATTCTATGCAAAACCTGGACATTTTTTTCTGTAGAAACTTAATTCTTTTTTTTTTTTTTTTTACTGGGAACTGAAGTAATTTTTTATGGTTTTATTTAAAAGGGACAAAAACTGAGCCAAAATTACAAATCAGCAGCTCAGATACAAAAAAATATTATACAGTCAATTTAAGACTTCATCAAAACAACTCGAAATTCATTTTTAAAGATGGCAGATTGTCTTTTCTTTACTGGCTCATCAACATCCACCAGACATATATATATATATATATATATATATATATATATAAATATAAATATATTACTCTGGGTCCATTAGCTTTTTTAATTTAATCAAACTTCTTGAATGGAATTATTTTAATTATTCCAATTGACTAAGAAGCTCCTCCATGTGTCAGTGACATTCATAGAAACCGCTGTATCTTGTGACTCCCTCTAGAGAGCTCTGGCCTCCGTCCGGCTGTAAACGTAGAAGACGTCGACCACCAGAAAACAGGAGGAGGAGAAGAGAAGAGCAACACGTCCCAAATCCTCACCCCTCAGGACCCCAAAGTGACGACTCTGACTGTCCCTTTGGCCCCGGCAGGAGGGCGTCAGAGGTGAGCAGCAGCTGCTCTGTAGATACTAATGAGTTAAGCCTACAGATGGATTCCAGAACTTTTTAAGTCAGGATAAGTCATTAATTTGACCATAGTCAAAGACAAAACACACTATGGCTTGCATAATAATATTTGATACAAGAGAGCAGAGTAAAGCTGATTTTAACATGTTTAAAACCCTGACTTTGTCTCCTTAGAGTTCCTTTTAGCATTATCCAACTTTTGATCAGCTTGAGAATAAAGGAGAGTTGTTTTCTGTGGATGCTTGAGACCAAACTAACTTCTCCACATGTCTTCCTGTTTGTCATAAATTATAAATCAGCGCTGAGAAAAGAGGACGTAAAACATTTTATTTATTTTCTTTCTCTCTCCTCTCCACGCTTTGCCCTGACAGTAAAGGAGATAAAGAGTAAGGAAGCTGCATGGGTAGCTCCTCCTTGTCTGTTTCTTTGATATGACAGGATGTGTTTTCAGTTAAAGTATAGATTTCCATCACATTGCATTTAAGCATCAAGCTCAGAACCCACCACAGATAAGCAGAACCAGTGAATGTAAGTGAAGCGTTTCCATCCGAAAGAGAAAAAAAACCTTAGAGATGTTTAAAAAAAAAGGATCTCAGATTATCCGACCAAATGTTATTTTTACCTACATCATTGTCTTAAAGTTTTAAGACTTTTAAAATGTGACATTTGGACTGAAACGTTTCTTGCTGTTGTGTTCTTGTACTTCCCCTTACCGTCCGTATTCTTTCTCTGTGATTCATCCATGGTTTGTGTTCTGCTGAAACTAAAACTATCTTGGTCCAATTTGAGCCCAAGTCTGTAGGTTTCCTTATTTTGCCAAAAATAAACAATGCGCACAATCAACCAATTGGAAAAGTGTAGATGCAGAACACAGACCGTCTGAATTATTGTGCTGTTTGGAAAGGCTCCTGAGTCCTGCCCTGTGTTTGTGTTGTTCTGTTGTTAAACAGTGAAGCTACTCTTCTTCTCTGTACAGCTTTATGCTTTCCCTCCTGTATGCTTCATAACACAGCAGACATTAATAAAAAAATGCATCTCAAGCTTCTCTGTGTATCGTCATTGTGTCTCCTGCTTGTCGGAGTGTTCTGATTAGTTCCTTCCCCTCTGTTGGGTCTTTCTTGAACTGATGATGTTATCCCCTCTGTTATACTCACTCTGACCCCTGATCTGACCTTCTACCACAGCAGTGGGAGGAACCGAAGGAGCATCTGGACAAAGATGTAAGCCTTCTCTGCTATTTATGCAATTCTACTTTTGATTAGCTCATTCATTTTTATTGTCTAATTACATTGCTTTTGTTACTATAGGTAAATATATAGAAAGCAAGTAAAATGAATGTATCTTTAACTAAAAGCCTTTAGAAATGTAACCGTTAATCTCACTGAATTTTTCATCTATTGAATAAAAGATATTTTAAATCTTTTTTTGGGGGAAAAAAACTTCTGTTTGATTAAATTACAACTCCTTTTGCCAGTAATGTTATTCGTGTCCTATTAAATGTTCTCTCTTTAATTAAGTCCAAAGGTTATTCAGGTTAAAGGTCTGAGGGCTGTGATGACAATGGAAGTAGGTGGATTTGGATCTGCTGAACTACTTTTTGATGTTTCCAGATGCTCTGGATCCAAAGATGATCCATTTGGATTTTTCTGCCTGAAAGCCCACCAGGTTTTCAAAAAGTTCATGATGCCATGCACTTTAATAAAAACAAATGAGAAAAAAGATGCTACAGGCCTCTTTTTAGGAGAAAGAGGCCAGTAAAAGACAGCTTAGGATAAACAGGAAGTCACAGATTAAATTGATAAGCTTTGCTCACATCTTAACCAGGCCTGTAAGGACAGCTCTGAGGTCAGAAAGGTTCACCTATTTTTGTTTCCAGAGAAACTGATTTTCTTTTCTTTCCCAAACAGCAAACGAGCACGTTCTCAGAGTGAAGATGATGATGAAGAAGTAAGCATCCCAGTCAGAGCCTGGCCCAGTCAGTCCAGTCTGCAGAGCTCAGACGACATGTAAGACATCCATCCATCCATCCATCCATCCATCCATCCATCCATCCATCCATCCATCCATCCGTCAGTCAGACCATCCATCCATCCATCCATCCATCCATCCATCCATCCGTCAGTCAGACCATCCATCCATCCATCCATCCATCCATCCATCCATCCATCAGTCAGACCATCCATCCATCCATCCATCCATCCATCCATCCGTTCATGCGTCCATCCATCCGTACATGCATCCGTCCTTCCCTCCGTCCATCCATCCATCAGTATATGCGTCCGTCCGTCCATCCATCTATCCGCTCTTCAACCTGCTGTTGTTTTGCTCCTAAGGTTAAGAGAGCGTCCAGCCTCTGCTGCCAGTCAGACCAGTGCAGTGGTCAATGAACGACTTCAGGAGCTGGTCAGGATGTTTAAAGAGAGAACAGAGAAGGCCAAGGAGAAACTTATTGACCCAGACAGCTCCGATGAAGAAAGCATCATTACCTGTGAGTATAGGCATCACAATTTACAGGAAAACGGTACAGGTAAAACTAATTGACAATTTGACCAAGATTTCAACTCCTCTACATGCACATGAATCCTAATGAACTTGACTGCCATATTAGAACCAGTAAAAGCAGCTCCTTGTCTTGTTGCTTCATACTGGCTATGGAAACCAATTCAGGAATTCACCAATTCACCAGGAGGAACCTTCAGTTCAACAGAATAGCATTAGGTAGAGTGGAAACATTTCATATTGTGTTATTATGTATGTTTGACTTTACGGTCCTCCCTCAGCTTCCCCTCAGCCCGCCCCTGAAGCTGCACTCCTGGATGAAGAAGAGGAAGGTATGAGAGGAGATTCATCAGTTGGTGAGGAAGAAAGAGGAGGGATGGGGAGCAGGGAAGATGAGGAGACGTCTGGAGGCCCCAGCAAGGTGAAAACCACTCCCCGATGGATCCAGGCCTGTTTGCACCTCCGATTCCCTGCCAGCATCGACCCCTTTACCAGTGAGACCCCCACAGTACCTGCAGCCACCTTTAGTTCTGCACTGAAGCTTTTTAAAGCAAACTGATAGAGTTTACCCCATTGTATCAGCTTAAATCCTGCTGTCATCAGCTGATGGTTTAGAGACTCACTGCCAGGAATCGATTCGTTATTGTTTACTATTTTAATCCTTGGATCCATCTTCTTCTCATCAGACCTAATGTATGTGCTTTGGATGTTCCTGGTTTCCCTGGCCTGGAACTGGAACGTTTGGCTCATCCCAGTCCGCTGGGCCTTCCCCTATCAGACTCCTGGTAATATCTACTACTGGCTGGTGACCGACTACCTGTGTGACCTTATTTACATCTTGGACATCACGGTGTTCCAGCCACGCCTGCAGTTTGTTCGTGGAGGAGACATAGTGGTGAGGGAACTCAGCCATACTACCAGAGATGTGATGTGACCAAAAAATAAAAAATAAAAAAAACTGCAGGAAATAAAATCATAATTTTCTCTGAATCTTTTTTTTTTTAATGATGGCAGTGTGACAAGAAAGAAATGAGAAAGAATTACATGAAAACCAAGCGCTTCAAGGTAAGTAAACAGATTTGGGGTTAAAGTAAAACTTTAGCTGCACTATTCCCTGAGTGCATACTGACTGCAGACTTATGTTATAGTTTGATGTAGCCAGCCTTGTTCCACTGGAGCTTTTTTATTTTAAAACTGGCATCAACCCTCTGCTGCGTCTACCACGCCTGCTGAAAGTGAGTACATTGAAGCACAAGCTATTTATTGACATGTTCTAGTGTGTAGTGAATTATAATCAGCACAACCACCCTATAAATGTTCAGAGATCCGTCTGATCGTCCTGATCAACTGTTTCTATTTCCTCCTCTGCAGATAAACTCCTTCTTTGAGTTCAATGAGCGTCTGGAGGCTATCTTGACCAAAGCCTACATTTACAGGTTAGTTACAGGGTAACCTTCTCTCATTTACCTTAATGTTTTTTTTTTGTTTTTTGTTTTTTTTTGCGTAGACTAATGATCAATTAAAGAAGTTTACAGGATTAATAACTTTCTGCTGATGAAGTACATGCATCACATTTTGCCTTCAAGGGTGATCCGAACAACTACATATCTCCTCTACTGTCTTCACTGCAACGCCTGTCTCTACCACTGGGCGTCCTCCTACATCGGATTGGGCTCCACCCAGTGGGTGTACAATGGTGTCGGCAACAGGTTGGAGGAAGTTTGCAGAAGTGATGTTTCATAGATAACTTATTTTTTTGCCTGAAGAAGTAACCAAATATAGGAGATGTTCTGCCAATATGTGTAAAAAGCTTCCATTTCATTTGCAGCTATATAATCACTCCCTGGAAAATGGAGAGCAAATTTGTTCAGAGGGTAGATATCCTGCAGTAATCATCATATTAATCGATTATAATCCCTGACACTTCTTACCAATGTGATATAAAACTTGGATTGACTGGATTCAACTTGGGATGTGTTAGTTGATTTTATTGGTGATAGGAGTAATCAACTCCAGGGACTTTCACTCGAACCATGGGCGTAGGTTTGCATAGGGACCATAGGGACATGTCCCTACCAAAGTTTTGAACCGACCTAATTGTCCCTACCAATAATTGGATGTGAGCAACATGTTTATAATTTACAGCAGTAGTTGTTGCAGCAGAGGCTTCTTTTCCTCTCGCAACTCCTCTGCCTGCTCTCTCCTGTCCCTTTCACGTAGCAGCGCATGGAACTGTGCTGCGCTGTTTAACTCTACTCTCATTGGTTGTTCTGCCTTAGGTTCCGCCTTCTCTCTCTCTGATTGGCTGTTTTCTAGTCCGCCTGTGCTTGGAGCACAAAATTGAAAATGTATTCACACTAGAATGCTGCGGTTACTACTGTAACCGAGCGTTTTGGGTCCGTATTACGTACTTTAGAGGCAATAACGGGACAAGAGACGGGTCGGAGTTTTCGGCGGTAGCCCCGCTTCCGGTTTTATTTCTTCTTCTTCTCTCAACACATAACCACAAACTCACAAGCTCCCCCTGCCGTACACCCGGCGAACTTTCGCTCCCCGGCAACAGGGATGGACACCACTTTAACATACAGACATAGAACAGTCTGTTACACACGTCCCCCCCTCAACAAGAAACGTCCCCGTTTCACCTGAAAAGCACCTGAAATGTAACCCTTCCAAAGAGAGGTAACAAAATAACAAAACAAACAAAAAAAATTCAACCTTACCACACAGTTAGGTACACCATGTAATTACAAACATGAAAGGAACAGAGCAGAACAAAAGCCTTAAACAGACCGCTCATGTCTCTCAAGTAACCCCTCCCACCAAGTGGAACTTATGTCAACAAAAAAAAAACAAAAAAAAAAAAACAAACAAAAACTAGAACTTCAAAACCTAAGAAAGTCCTGCAAATAGGATGGAGGCCTCACCAATCGCCCCCTGCGAGACCGCCCAACCTGGGACTCAGGCAAGTCCCCACACAGTCCATTGTCCACCTCACCAGTCTGAGATTGATCTCCGTTCTGGGGAAGGGAAGCCTCGACCCCAAGAGGAGAATTCACAGCAGCTGGAGCCGGAACAGCCTGTGCAGGCAATGGCAGAGTGTACGGTTTCAGTCTGTCATGATGAACCACTTGGACTCGCTCCATTGGATCGAGGGCGTTGACGAGGCGATACGTGAGCGCAGACTCCCCACCAGAAACCAACACTTGCACGACCCGATATGGACCCTTCCAGTGCGGCGCCAGCTTCATACGGCTCTCCGTGGGGTTACTGATCCACACCAGCGCACCTACCACATAGGGGCGATGACAGCTACCCTGGTCATAGTACAGTTTCTGTCTTTCCTGAGCTTCAGCCGAGTTAAGCCTGGCAGCGCTGAATGCTGACCCCAGTCGCTCTGCAATGACGGAGGCATAATCCATCAAAGATCCAGTACCCCAGGAGTCGGGCGCATTAGCGGGCACTAGCACATCCGCTGGAACACGGGCCTCACGTCCATGCATGAGAAAAAATGGAGTAAACTGGGTGGTGGCATGCTTAGAGGTGTTGTATGCGAAAGCAACATGCTTCACATACGTGTCCCACTCACCGCCATGAGAAAGCAACAGCTTGGCCAGCTGATCGATCAAAGTCCGGTTGTGGCGCTCCACCATGCCATCCGATTTGGGATTATACGCAGTGGTACGGGTTTTCTTAATCCCACCGCTGCCACCAATGTAACCGAGCGTTTTGGGTCCGTATTACGTACTTTAGAGGCAATAACGGGACAAGAGACGGGTCGGAGTTTTCGGCGGTAGCCCCGCTTCCGGTTTTATTTCTTCTTCTTCTCTCAACACATAACCACAAACTCACAAGCTCCCCCTGCCGTACACCCGGCGAACTTTCGCTCCCCGGCAACAGGGATGGACACCACTTTAACATACAGACATAGAACAGTCTGTTACACTACAATAAATATTAGGCTACAAAACTAGTCCCAATAAAAAAAAAAAAGAAAGAAATTAATATCATGTACACTAAAAAACAAAAAACTTTTTTTTTCTTTTATAAAACGAAATATTCTGAGTCAGCCAGGAGTTCCGAAGACTGCTGGAAAAATGAGCAAATAAAGGCAGTAAGCCGTCAACATTTCTGATTCTTAGCCACAGCCACATAAAAAAGAAAATGCGAGGGTTTCCTTTTTATCAATATTTAGTTGCTATTACTGTTTTCATTTTTTGATGACTCTTTGAGGAAGTTCAGGCATAATTATTAGCAGGTGTTATTTTTCTTATAAAGTATAACAACAAGAAATGGCATCTAAACATCTGTTATTTTTCGTTTAAAAAGCATAATTAGGGTTCCACATAATAATAGTAATTTAATTGACTATTTATACTTCTAGAAATAGGATAAGGCAAGAATATAAACATTGATTTTATCTTACATAGATTTCCACACAGTCTATAAGTAAATTAGTACAAACATTAATGTCTGGTAAAAATGCTTGAATCTGGCTGTTTATTTTGGATATTATCAAATTACAGATAAGATAGTGTTATATTGTCTTTTATAATTGTTAAAAGTGATTTTATATTTTAATACACTTAGGCTCATTCTCAGTGTTGTGTTTGTAGATGATGTCACAAAAAAAATTAAATAGATATAAGGAGCTATTTAAACAGTCAGACAGTAGCAATATAGGATGATGATGAAAGGTTGTGTTACATTTAATCCTTTACTATTAAAAAACGCACTTATACATTATATGATTATAGGAAACACAGATATCCAGTAATATAAAAGCAGCTTGTAGGTGAAGCAGCTGGCCCTTCAGTGCTTCAGGTGATGTCTAAATAAACCAGGTGAAACTAAAATATTTCCACTTGAGGAGTTCTGGGTGGAGAATATTGACAGACAAAAACATTTTTTAATCTTATATATATTATATATATATATATATTGTTTTTTTTTTTTACAATTTTGGTATAATTACTGATCTAAGTGGGTTGCTCTGTCGGGGAAAGGCATATTTTACATTTATATTACTGTATGTTTTAGAGTCTCTATTCTCCAGTTAATTAGATAAATTACATACTAAATTAGTTGACGATTATTGAAATAATCAATTAATACGATTCATTTTTTCAGCCCCAGATAAAATACCTGAAATGGGTGACACAGAGTAACTACAGCCCAGATGTTTAACTTTTATAGTGAAGTTAATATCTTAATGAATGTATTATTTTACTTGATACATAGAGAGCATAGTAGGTAAAATATAAGAGTGGGGTTTAACTCTGCACAATTCTACATCTTCAAAAGAAAATACTGTATTTACCTTCTCTCTTAGTGGTTCAAATGAAACCATTTTCAAAGTGGAAAAAAGTCCTAATCCCACATTGATCAGAGCCGGTGATACTTTAAACATTGATAAACAGCATCTAATGAGTGTAGTGCTTAATTTTTTTTTATTTATGTAGCAAAATGATGCTTTTCTCTTTTAACAATAAATTCCACTTATCAGTACAGATGCTCACTTCGAGCATAAAAAAGGGCATGCAAATTGCATAGCACCAAAGACACCCGACCAATAGTGTCCCTACCAAAGTTCAAATCAAACCTACGCCCTTGACTGGAACCAAGAGTTTTGAAGAGATGAAACTAAAATTTTGTTTCTCTTGGTTAATCCAAAGGAGTACTTTTCTTTGTCAGTAAAAACAAATGCATACAAAAAATCGGGAGAAATGTATTATGAAATAATGTGTTGGATAGAGACGGGCTCTCACAGTGGTTGGGGTTTTATTCTGTTACATAAAGATCATATATGGGAACACTAGACGCTATAAGTTAAAAACGCTGATGTTGCATTAAGGCAGCAGAGATAATGTATATTTTTGTGAGTCTATTTGTAGGTGTTGCTAAAGTCGGTATTTAGAAAAAAGCACTGCCCAAGTTGGGACTGTCTGTCTCATCAGGTCCATGTCATGATGACTGGGTTTAGAGTTGAACCGAAATCCAGACAGGGATGTGGTGACCTTATGAAATTAAATGTAATCAAGAAACTTAAAGGAGATGCAAAAGGAGAACTGGAACTATATGAGAGAAACAGACAGTACGACAGAAGGATCCAAAGAACAATGATGACCACTAAGCTCAATACTGAGGGCAGAACAGAGAATAATGAGGTAGCTGAGGTAGAAGTGATGTAACGAGACTAATTAGCACTCATGGGTCTGAAATTAAACACAAAGAAAGACTAACAGAGATTAAAGAAAATAAACCCTGAAAAAGAACAGAATAGAAGAAAAAACTGAGAAACTCAACAAAGGGGATTAACACATATGGAAACACAATTTTAGAAAAGGAAACATTTGAATTTCAAGGGAGTGATGTAAACACTAAAGAAAACCAGAACCCAAACAGGTGTGGATGAACAGGTAACTGGGTGACTACAGTAGATGATCTGTCAATTAATCATTTCATAGTATGGGTTTGCTTTAGATGTTATCTACATCTTTTTTTTTTCTATTTCTGCAATAAAATATATATATCAATTTTAAGTGTTATGTTTCCCTTTCTAACGGTCTTCTTCTTCCCTCAGTTATATTCGATGTTACTACTTTGCTGTGAAAACTCTGATCACCATCGGAGGCCTGCCAGATCCCTCCTCCCTGTTTGAGATCGTCTTCCAGCTCATTAACTATTTTGTTGGAGTCTTTGTCTTCTCCATCATGATTGGTCAGGTAGGTCAGCAGCTTTAGTTAAATCACTCTAAATGTCAAACAAGCCCCTCCAGCCTTGCTTGTGTCTCAGATGCGGGACGTTGTTGGCGCGGCCACAGCGGCTCAGACCTACTACCGCACCTGTATGGACAATACCATTAAATACATGACGTCTTATCGCATACCAAAAGAAGTCCAGAACCGCGTCAAAACCTGGTATAATTACACTTGGCAGTCACAAGGCATGCTGGGTAAGGACATCACATGTTAGCTTTGATGTTAAGGAATATGAGCGGTGGGTCATGCCTTACCTTCTTATATTTCCTCTCCAGATGAACAGGAGCTTCTGACCCAGCTGCCGGATAAAATGCGCCTGGATATTGCCGTAGATGTCAACTACTCCATTGTGAGCAAAGTCCCTCTCTTCCAGGTGATGAATCTGTAATGAAGATCTGCTGTCTAAAACTTATCATGTCAAATAAAATTCTTGGCACCTGAATCTCCATATTCATCTCCATGGTATTATAACCCAAAGATTTCTTTTCTGCATCACAGGGTTGTGATAGACAGATGATTTTTGACATGCTGAAAAGCCTGCGATCTGTTGTCTACCTGCCTGGAGATTATGTCTGCAAGAAGGTCAGTTGTTTTGGAAAATCTCTGTTCTGCAAGCTTTACTATGGAAGTTTTGTTTTTTACAGTTTGTTTGCTTTCTGGCCCCCAGGGCGAGGTGGGTCGAGAGATGTACATCATAAAAGCAGGGGAGGTGCAGGTTGTTGGAGGACCTGATGAGAGGACAGTGTTTGCCACCCTCAGAGCAGGATCTGTCTTTGGAGAGATAAGGTAACAGAGAGCTGTTCACCATGCTTATTAAAATAAGAAAATCAGTGGCTGAACCAGTTCAATCAAACCAGATCTTTCTAGTTACAGTAAAAAAAAAAAAGCTGACGACATTCTCTGCTGCCTTAATCCAATTCTATATGGTGAGGTTGAGCTCCTACTGTAAAAATAGGTAGTTCTGACCAACAGACCAACAGATGCCCATTATTCAGCTAACTTTAAGAGGTGATGAACTACAATCCCTTTAGACTTTTAGTGTCTGTTGTCTTAATCAGCTTCATTTCCCATGTTTGGACCCTTGCATCTTGTTACTCTGTACAGCTCTGTAGATGGACAGAAGGGAATCATTGTGACAGCAGTTTTAAGATGAGCTGCTGCAGGTAAAGGTGTTTTTTTCTTCAAATGATTGCCTGGTTTACAGTTTACTTGCAGTGGGTGGAGTCAACAGGCGCACAGCCAACGTGATTTCTCATGGATTCGCAAACCTTTTCATCCTCGACAAGAAAGACCTGAATGAGATCCTGGTCCACTACCCTGAGTCGAAGAAACTGCTGCGCAAGAAAGCCAGGTTAAACATAAAAATAAACCAACCACCTAGGAACTTCTTCTACTATTGGCTTTTCCTTTGCACAATGTAGTTCTCTAATTACTGACACTCTTTTTAATTCCAGGAAGATGCTCAATAAGGGGAAAAAGCCTGAACCCAAAGAAGAGCCTAAGGAAGTGGTTCAGGTACCAGTAGCTCCAGTCAGGCCGGAGACTCCCAAACTGCTCCGAGCAGCTCTTGAGATGACAGAGAGATCTTCAGGACTAAAAGGGGCTCTGGCTAAGGTCAAAGAGAAGACCAGCAAATCCAGTATATCTCTACAGGTAAATGCTTGCCATGCATATGTAAAACATCTGTCAACACTGCTATGTAGTCAGCAGAATTTCAGTCTCTGACCGCACCTTCTACTCTATAGTTTCACCTAAAGTCTCTTGTTCCAACAACAAGCATCAGCCTAGTTTAAAGGAATTTAATACAAAACCGCATAACTGCAGTATTTACAGCTGGAAGTTAAATGGAGCAGTTCAGATCAAAGCTGGTGGAGGCTGGGGTGGAGGTTCACCTTCCAGGAGGAAAACCATTCTGACAAAAACCCAAGAACTTACGACAAATGTTCCCAGATGTTATCCAAGCCTAACCCTACTGCTTAATTCAGTGCCATGACAACCCAATACAATTCATTACGGTTTGCTGCTGGAACAAGACAGACTTTGTGCAATGCCATATGGGTTGTTTTGTGAGTATGCGTTATGACAAAAGTTTAACACAAAACGTTATGATTTGGCCATATTTTCACCTGAAGGCCTTTCTGTAATAGCAGCTATGATAACTACAGGTGAAGCTGTCACTACCTGATCCCGGAAGCACAATCCGTCCTGCACATGTATGAACAGGGTTTCCATAAATAATGTAGCTAATTATATAAAATTACTTATTTCTATTCCTATTCTCTAAAGCGGAGGTCCTCAACAGGGGCTCCACGCCCCCTAGGGGGACCACTCATTTACTGCATGGCGGTCGCAAAAGTTTTGGTTGATTAGACTTTTATACTATCATATCCCCCCCCTGCAATTTTTTCCACTAATTGAAATGTCTTTAAATAAACATTAACTTGAATTCAACACATTGAAGTAAACAGATAAATGGAGGCAGAAGATGTCTTTCAGTCATCAATGCACACATTCAGCGACACACAGAAGCTCTTTCAAGCTGGGCACCGTTTCATTCAAAACACCCGTAACATCAACCAGGAATCAGAATCCGAATCAGAAATACTTTAATAATCCCAGGGCATAATGACTTTCGTTACATGACTACATCTGTAATAGTGACTATAGGACCAATTTGATATAACACAATTCCAAACAATACATATGATTAGGGAGTCCCCGCTTCATCTCGCCATCAGTTTGGGGTTCCTTAGCCTGGAAAATGTGGAAGACCCCTGCTCTAAAGAATGCTAAAACACATCTTTAAAAAAAAAAATATTCTCTTAATTACTCCATCCCAGGCCTTTTGAACATTTTACTAAGAGGAGAAGACGGGTGAGCAAGGAATGGATCATCATCTGCAGTTGAATGTTGTAATACATCGGGTAGAAGAGAACAAACAAAATTTGTTATTTCATCTTTCCCATTCATGATCCACCACGGGCTTGTTGTTGGATTGCCAACTTGAAGAGGGAGGATTTGCCATCAAACTTCTGGCCAGAGCAAAATACATAATAAGTAGCAAACATTTTGAAGAGGAATGTTTTCAAGATGACTTGGATAATAGTGCGTTGTGACACCAGGTAGAGAACTGGGACTTGATCACCAGCCGATACCGCATCGTGATGTCACAAACGGGTAGTAGGCTTTAGTGTTCTTTGACAAACATGGGTGCCTCCAATAAAGCACATTCAGATGAAAATTACTCTTAATTAAAAACATGTATCATTTATAGAACAGTATGTAATAATTTAATATTTAAAGAACTTTCAGAAGTTTGAATTCTGAATATGACGGACTTCTCCTTTAACATCTAATGGTAGCTACCTTTTTAGCTGATTACCTTCAGCTACTGATTAAGGCCTCCACTCAGATCTATCTCTTTGCCTCTTCTTCCAGCAATCTTTGTCCGCCTCTTTACGTCCTCCATCTGCTGCTCTTGGCTCTGGACCTGAACGGGAGGTGGACACACCGACATCCATCTCTGCTAGCTCTATGACACTTCACTCAACTCCTTATAGTTGCAACCCAGAAGATCTTCCTCCTGCAGAGTTCCACAGTGACGCAGTCAAAAAGGATGGTAGTGAGGATGAGTGGGATGAAATGGAGGACAGGAAGGAGAAGAGGATATAAAAGTGGTTCTGGAAAAACTGAAGGTTTCAGATGTTTCTGTAGTCCTACCTTAACAGGTGCAGAGGAGAAAAAAGGTTAGTGACCCCCAACAGGTGATGCAGGGAAATAAATGAGTCAGATTTCCATGTCGATTGTTAACTTCTTACAGGTTAGTATCTTTAAGTCACATCCTCCTCTTTTTACAAAAATAAGGATCTTGTCTTTCTGCAGAAGATCATTGTTTTGTTGTTGTTTCCTAAAAGTTTACAGGTTCCATTGAGATCTCTTAAAGAACATCTTGCCTTATTTTTTTACTGACTGAACATATATCAGATCTCCCTGCTGAGCGTTCACTCAGATGAAAACTGGTTTAGTCAATGTGAGACACTGCTGTATCTCATCTACTTATTTTAGATTAGAACTATGATAATACCAATAATATCAACATGCTGTAAAATAAACTGTAAATATCATAAAATGGTCATTATCAAATATCTGACTCACTAGGTTCTAAGGATTATATTTACATTTTTACTTTGACTATTTTAATTTTATATACATTTGTTTTACACTGAAATGTAGAAAAAAAAAACGTGTTTATATTCCCGACTTTATAAACGATATGAGATATTAAAGCATTTTGACGATGCTGTTGTCTAAATATTTGTTAATATGTATGTTTATTTTTTTGTGATGTGAGAGTTGTGCATCATATGTAAATATGATTACATATTGCTCTGAACATAAACAGACTATACTGACAGTGATGTAAATAGCAATAAACATATCAAACAGTTGATGATGAATATGTTTAAATGTCTTTCCCTATCCTAATAATGTAGATTTGTCATTATGTGTGTTTTCTTTATAAATACAATAAAACATTCAGTGAATACTCAGTGTTTGTTCTCCTGTTCCTTCAAAGAGAGCATAGGGAACATTTTAGCCACGTTTTTCTTGACTTGAGTTGCAAATCAATCCTGTTGGATGTTAGGTTTATTCTTTATACATCATGTGCGTTGTTTGTTAGCCAGATTAGACAGAGTAGAAGGCCTTCTTTCACATGGTTGATGTCACTGTGTGTATGGAGGCCATCTAATCAGGACAGCCTTTGTGTCTTTACAAATACACAGGATATGGGCACATCTTGGAGCCGGACTGATAAAGGAGATCTATGTGTAATCCTGGGGTAAAGAGGCAAGATGCATGAATTTCAAGGTATGGATGGCGTGTCAGTTTCTGATACGGACAGCTAAGCATCCACCTGATGCAACACAAGGACTCATGGGGTATAGGAAGGAGGAGATGACTTTGTTCGGGGCTCAAGCTTTGCCGGACGCTCGCTGACGTTTTTTGAGCCCACAGCTGTGCCAACCCTAAGCAATTTCTCTGTCCTGTAACGACCTGACCTGGAATAAATGCTGTTACTTTTTTACTCCTGTTTTATAGTCCTTTTTTATATGGTTTTACCCAGTTTGAGTTAAGAGTAGTAAATAACTTGCTCCCAGGTAAAGAACCGGTTGGGAAGTTCCAAGGCACAGCTGCCCTCAGGGGGGACCTAACTTCCATATTAAACAAGGATAAATACAAATGTTTTCTTCATCTAGTGAATCTCAGAGTTGGTTTTTTAGCTTTTTTTAGTATATTTTCTTTTCTCTTCCACTGCTGGCAATGCTTTTTATTAATAAAATGAAGAGAGTGATGTACTTATTTTCTTTTTCTTAATGTATAATGGTGAGGCAAGTAACAGGTCTTTATGCAAATATAAGTTTTCTTGTAAATTACATAGGAACACAAGCTTTCGGCCTTGACATGTGAGCTTAGGGGAGGCTAAATACTGAAAGAATAATATGACTAATCTGTTCCCTAACTGTTGACACTCATGGTCTTTAAACTCTTTAGCTTCTGATTTTAACTGGATATTCTAAAACAAATAAAAAATGGTTTAACTATAGTTTCTTAATTACTCCATCACATGCCTGTTGAACATTTTATTTAAAGGACAAGTCTGGTCAGCAAGGAATGATCAATGGATCATTATCTAATACGTTTGCGGTGATTTGATGAATTTAGCGTTAATCCGTCATTTCTGCCCAAATATAATTACACCTCAGTCCTGACATCTTCCGGCAGTGACATCACAGTGGGGGAAGCCTAGAGCCATTCTGCCCGCTGTACAAGCAAAATCAATGGGAACAACTAGACACATCTGCAATCATCAACAATTAAGATTTCGAGAGGACTTCACCATTGAAATTTGCGAGAGCAATAGTTAAACTGACAATGCCCTGGTGCATGGCAGTTGGATGTTGTAATACTTTGGGTAAAAGTGAAAAGAAAATTAGTTATTTCACCTTTCATGATCCTCCACGGACAGGTTCATCTTTGGATTGCCTACTTGAAGAGGGAAGATTTGCCATCAAACGTCTGGCCAGAGAAAAAACACCTGATATTTAGCCAGCATTTTGAAGAAGAATGTTTTCAAGATGACTAGGATATTAGTGAGTGTTGTGACAAACACCAGATTGAGCACTGGGACTTGCTCAACAGCCGATACCGCACCGTGACGTCACAAACCGGTGGGACATTTTTAAATCTTAAATTTAGGTAATTTGATTGACTTTTCAGAAGTTCAGAGACGATATAAAAACATGATTTATTCTGCAAATTGATTTGTTTCTAAAACTATGTTACTGTTCAGACTATATTCCACTCATGATCTAAATAATTAGCTTTATATTCAGTCATTACGTTATTTGTTAGTAGACAACTTTGTTTATCTATTATTTTTTAACAAATCGGCTTGCCATAGTGTGTCGTCGCGTCAGCGGTTGCCTAACAACAGCCACCAATCAAAAGAGAGCCGCTGAAGCCGCTTCCCTGTGATCAGCTGACCAATCTGAGGTCGAGCTGTCAGCTGGAAGAGGCTACCTCTACTTTTAGCTGTTATAGTGCCGTCAGAAAATAAAGCTTTTTATTAGCGCCTATTGATCGGAAGACTACTTGTTTTATTAATGAAAATGAGACAAACCGCCGCGTATCCTGCTCTCTCTATCTCTCTGGAGCTACAGAGCTAAAGTTGGAGGATTTTAACGGAAGTTGGAGATCAGCTGAGATGATCTGGAGAGCTCTCTGACATCAGGAGATGGAGTACAGCGATGATCTTCCAGAAACACCTGATCTGCCTCTGGAGGTTAGCGCATGTTTCTCTTCAAGGTGCTGCTGGTTATCAGACAAACAAAGCAGTCATTTTAGTAGCATGCTGGGGTTCTGACCCAGATGGAAAGGGTTCAAGGAGCACCCAGATTGGACCACAGCTAAGGTTTGGCTGTAACAACAGAACCAGAAGCCAGGAAAAAATGTTTTTATAAATAAAGTCAGAGCTGGGAATGAATCACTTGCTCTAATCTGTATAATTACGTAACTTTATAATCAATAAAATCACACATAATTTGCCTTTCTGGAAAAATCGTATGCCCACAGTATGACGCTGCCCCCTCCGTGTTTCACTATAGGGATATTATGTGTCTAATAGTTTTCCTTTTAAATAAATGTTGCAGCTTAAATTGCTAAAGTAATAATCTGGAGTTAACTGCACGGCCAGCTATCCCATCTGTAGGAGCCAATTATATTTTGTTAATAATTAACAAAGTTTTGCATAATCTAGCTAAATTATTTTACTTTATTGTTTGATATCTGTTATGAGATTATGTTTTTTGGTTATTTAGTCATGTTCCCTTGTTTTTCGTTAGTTATGATTAATTTGGGTGAATTATTTTTATAAATAGGCTTTCAATGGTAGGACCAGCATGCATCTGGGTGGGCTTAAGGTTTTTTTTTTTTTACCAGCGCAAGAGAAACATGGAGGAAATGTTTGTCTTTTTCTGTTTGCTTGCCTAAGGAGAAAATAACCTGAGAAAACTAAAGGAGTTTACTTGGAAAAATTTTTCTTTTGTCTGTGTAAAATTAGTCCATGGTGCATCTGTGGCCTTTGTGTCATCAAAGCTGGGCCACAACACATCCCTCTATGGTGATACCACTGCTTTAATCCTGCATCTCCATCTGTCTCTGCAGATTATAGTTTACATCCTGAGTTTTCTTCCTGCCTCAGACAGAAAGGAAGCCTCCCTGGTCTGTCGCAGCTGGTACAATGCCAGCCAGGACCTGCGCTTTCAGGTAGCTCGCTCTGCAGCCACTATCTCTGCATACATTTTTTATTTATTTTTTTCAAAATGTGGATACAGACGCAGCCTCTTCTAACTTTTAGTGTCTTTGTGCAGAGGAACGTCACCTTCAGCTTCCCGGCTTCAGCTGCTTCCCTGGCACTGGTCAGAGGTCTGGCCAAGAAGCCCCGCTGCAGCCTGAAAATCAGCCAACTCGATGGCTTCAGTATCTCCAGATCCCTCCTTACAGAGGTACAGTGTTCTGCTTTCCTTTAAATGATTAAATATCTGACGCTTTTCGTGCCTGAAGGCATCTATTCTTGTCTCTGGATCTTCTAAGAACATCGCACTGTGGCAATCAATGCTTTCTTTGTCCAACTTCCCCACCTCCAGGGCTCTAGAAACCCGGCCCACTAACTTGTTGTCCAAATCAACACTCTTACTAAGAACTATCTGTGGATGTAATTTTAAGTCACCATGACTATATCTGGAACGGGTGAAGTTCAGAACATATTAGCTGTCCTAACTGTGAGTCTTCGGCATCTTTATCTGCCAGCGGTATTTAATGAATTATATTGCAGACTATAAAGTTGTAAAATCTCAAAGGTTACCTGGAAAGATGAGGTTAAAGTCCAGTGTTTTTTTTTTAAGTTGTTAGTGCTGGACAGGCTCAGACTGGGAATGATTTTCGGCCCACTTATGTCCCCACTTACCACATCAGCAGGGTTGCCAGATGTTTTCCATCCCAAAAAAGTTTCATAAACCTCCTGGATATACGAAATCTTACCCAATTTGAACCATAGTCTATTGATGTCTTAGGCTATAAATCTAAAGAAAAATATTTTTACCCATAGACGGCCATCCTAAACTGCCAGATTGGGAAACATCCCAACCTGGCAACAACAAACGTAAGACAGGAAACGTTAGCCTTTAGATGCAAAGCCCCATCATGCAGCGCAACATATTTTTGCAAAATATTCGAACATAAATTCGCCAAATATAAGAGGAGTATCGTAGTTTAAAGAAAGCATTTTAGTTTTATTATAATTTAGTTTGTTGCAAGGATTATACAGTTTGAAGAAATAGAAAATTACACCATATGCCAACCATCACAAGGATGTGCATAACAAGGAAGGGCTATACATACTGCATGCATCATTTCTATAGGTAACATTGTATTTCTTCTTGAGCTCCTTGAGTTATTTACTGTCACAGGTAGGTGCTTCGGCCGGAGAGTAAGTGTTGGGGCTGGTATGATTGAAGGAAGGCCGGCCCTCGCAGGCTGAAATTAGGACTGGCCCACCGGGCAAATAGCCTCGTGAGACCATCCTGATCTCGCAAGCTTTCAAGGTTTCACTCGCAGATCAGTCTGGAGACTCTCCGTTAAAGAAAATTTGGAGTCGTTCACCAAACGAACGTCCAATCAGCGTTGGCTTTGAGGCGGGTTGAGGTGTGACGCAACGAGAAGCGCAGCAGTTCAGTCTAAAGAACATGGCGGCTTTAGCCGATGAAACTAGCGTTAGCATGGCTA